GGAGTATGCTAATTATTTTAAATAGTAGTTGCAGTTTCGAGACCATTGTTTTAGGGAATTGCAAGTAGTTTGGTATAGTAGGAGCAAAGGATGAGTGTGGGTGAGGAATTGACAGGAGGTAAAACTAGGGAAGCCAGCAATCACCATACCCTTAATGGTCACAACGCCATGGTAGCATCTATCTGCATAAAGAAAAACTTTCTGAAAAAAATAAATCCAAAAAAGAGAGGTTATTTATGTGAACTGCTAATTGATAGACAGTTGAAAAAGGATACTAAGGATAATATTGGTGAAAGTAATCACAATGGGAAAGTTTAAGAGACTTGTTTGTGCAAATATTAAACTATATTTTTAACATACCTTTTAATGATATTAAAAGACAAACAACTCACTGGGGAAAATATTATAAACATATAAGGTATATGCAAGGTTAATGCCTTTACTAAATTAAGAACTTTTACAAATGAGTTTCAAAAATATAACTCAATAGAAAAATAGGCAGAGGACACGAACAGGGAATTCACTATAGAAGAGACACAAATGACCTATAATCATATCTAAAAGATGTTCATCATCACTCTAAATCAAATACATATAAATTTGAACACTGAGAATCAATTCTTCACCTATGAAATTATAAAAATAATAATACCCACTTCCATGAGGACATGAAAGGCCAAATATATACAGTATAAATAAGAGTACAAATTACTTTATCAGAAAAAAAATGTAAGTGTAGTGAATGGTTTTGAAAATGGACAGACTGAATGCATCATAGCACCAGTTAAGAAATTATTACATAATTCAGGTAGTAGCAGTGTACATGGAAAGTAGAGAACAGGTTGCAGGCATGGTAGGGTGTAAGATCTATAGTGGAAACTGCAATTTAAGAAGGAGTCAAGGATAACTGCTTTCTTTTTTTTAACTTTGCTTTTTCTTTAAATTATTTATTTATTTTTTTCAGTTACAGTTGAGTCAACATTATTTTAAATAGTTTCAGGTGTATAGCATATTGGTTACACATTTATATAATTTATGCTGTGATCCCCCAGTTTGTCTAGTACCCATCTGACTCCATACATAGTTTTTGCAACATTATTGACAACATTACGTGTGCTGTGCTTTACATCCCTGAGGATAACTCTTGATCCTCCACCTTTGATTGATAAATGGATTGTGGAATTACATTAATCCTCCCTGACTTTAATAGGGAGATCATACCCCCCCCACACACACACACACACAAACAGTATTTCTCATTCTTTTTCCTCTTTGGGACAAAATGTAATTTCTCCTATCTTTTTTTCTTAAACTTTAATACACTGTTTTTCTTTGCCCAGTACAAACAAATATAAAGAGCTATGATGCATTGGGAAGGCACTGTCAGAATTTTTACATACATATTTGATTTACTCTTCATAACACCATGAAGTATCTGTTATTCATATTTTACAGATGAGAAAACACGCTCAAAGCCATTAAGTGATTTGTGCATGTGAGGGAGGTTTACAATTTGGATTATGAAATTTGAATCCAGATTTATCAGGTCAGGGCTCCATAACTGGGCACTATTTGTTACATAGAATCACATATTGGTCATTTACAATCTAGATAAAGTATCAAAGTTACACAAAGGGAAGACTTTCACTTTCTCTGGTAAAGAAGATTCCCTCAGCTACAGATTTTTCTCAGAACTATAACAGAGCCAACATTCTAGCAATCTACTCTATCAGCTGTGTTTATTGGATCTCTCAGATGTGCCTATTGTAATTAACCTGCGTTCCACTGCAGGTGCTTCCAAGGAGGCTAGGAGTGTTGTGATGACACCTTCAGTATCCATAGTTATACAGATGAAAAGAGTTTCTGGGGTGACTTTTATATTTCAACTACTTAAGGTCTTAAATGCCAAGCTGAAGGCTAATCTTCAGCATTCATTCTTTCATAAACTCATACCTTCAACCTACAAACTTGGACTGACTGTGTTAGGCTCTGACAATACAAAGATGAATTAGAATGACCCTGTTCTTCGAGGAGTTCATGTGTAGATGGGGAATAACATGTAAATAGAGGGCTATAAGTGGGTGTCTGGGTGGGTAAAAATGCCATTTATAAACCTACAGGAGCAGCAGGTTTGGAAAGATGATGAATTTTGGACATGTTCAATGTGAAAGACTGGAAGACATTCACGTGGACATGTCAAACAGGCATTGGTTTCAAGAATCAGGAGTATAGGAGAGAGATGTGGCCTAGACATTTTTTTTAATTCATCAGTACTATCTGTGATCTTATAAGGATTAAATAGTATAGATATAAGATAATATGTATGTGCTTGTTATTTAGTTGTTGAACATACTGAATAGTTAGTTCCATGCAAAGGTATACTTACAACACTTTTTTTGAAAGTACAACTGAAATAAATTATAACTACCACTTATAACCTACTATTTGCCATGAATTGTGCTAAGCGTTTAATTATCTAGTGTTTACCATAACTCTGATGTAAAAGGAATTATTCCCATTTTTCATTTGAACAAACTGAGTACTAGAAACAGTGTAAATTGGCCAAAGCCAGCTAGTGGCAGAACTGGGAACTCCAAAGCCACTGCTCTTTCTTATATCTCACTTTCTGGGTTGGGTTACACCAGCACTAACAATGGGTTGCATTGTAAACAGGCAGTTACTGGGAAGACTTTACTCCGCCCCTATCTCTGGCCGAGAGCCCAGCAGGTGATGACAAACAAGCTCCTGTGGAATTGTGGGTAGATACTGGACTTATAAAAGAAAGGATTCCTAAACACCTCTTTGCTTAGTCTTTTCTCCTCATTTTGCCTAGTGCACGCAACACTCACGCACTAGGACCGTGCGGAATCCGGGCCGCTATGGCGCCTCTGCTCACTGCCAAAATCCAGTTGCTGCTCCTGCAGGCGATGGGCTTTCTTATTGGCCTAGTAGGCCAAGCAGCTCGAGCCTTTGGCGGCCCCAAGTTTGACTCAATGACCACACGGCCTGTGACTGAACCATTACTCCTGCTTTCGGGGGTGCAGCTGGCCAAGCTGATCCGACAGAGGAAGGTGAGAGTGCAATGCGGGCTGATTCAAAGGAGGGTGGAGAAACAGGTCGTTTAGTGGAACTAAACTACAGGAAGTTTAGTGGCGGTCGTTGTTGTAATGAGTTTGGTTTTGGTGGAAATCAATTTCCTTTCCACTCTCTACTAGGGCGACATAGGAGAGGCATTCACTGAGGATAAAAGGAGACTTCTGGGAGTTGTAGTATGCTTATACCCAGAGCGTTTGCTGTAGGCATCCTTTGGATTATGTTGGCACCCCTCACAGTCCTTCCTGTCCATTTGTCCCGTTTGTGCGTAATAATTGTACGGGGATAAATCAGGTGCGGTTTACAAATTAATTTTCAGTTATGGAAATTTTCTGCCTCTCTCACGTGCGGTTTACAAACTCATTCTCAGGGTAATTAATTCCTCTTGAGCTCCGTCCGATTCCCGCCCCTCCCCCCCACCCGCTGCTGCTTGTTCAAGGGATTTTTACATTTAAAAAATGCGTACCTGCCCTAGGTAGTATGTGCCCTAGGGTTATAGTAGCTGTGGCTACCATCTCTTTAGTGCATAGTACATGTCAAATATCGCGGAGGCCACTTAAACATATTCTGTCTCACTGATGTAATTCTCTAGGTAATGTCCCTATTTTACACATGAGGAACCCGAGGTAAAATGTTTTGCACGAATACACAAAAATTGGTGGAAATTCTTAATCCAAAAATTTAAGCAGCTCAGATAATTATTCCCTCTAGAGTGCAAGCAGGGCCATCTAAATATTTCTGTATAATATGAATAGTTAGTTCCCTAGAGATCTTGGATTATACTCTAGTATTTTTTTTCTTTATTCCCCTCTTCTTTTTATCTCTCTGTTTTCTCATTTTTTTTCCTTATTGCTTTATTACCATAATCTAGAATGTGTTTTTTACACTCCTGGTAACCTTCCAATGACATTTCTTGCCATTTTTGGGTATCCCCTCCCAGCCTTTTGTCCCCTGTGCATGCTTCTTGTTAACAGTTGGTGAGTGAGAGGTAGCAGAAAGACAATCGGTTTTAATTTTTGGTATGCCTCTTCCTAGCTCTGTGACCCTGGGCAAGGATTGCCACAATTGCAGATCATGCATGTGAAGCACTGTGTAACATAGTGATTAGAAAGATAGGCTCTGGAGCCAGGCTGCCTGAGTTCAGAAATCCTGGCTCGCTCCTACTATTCTGCTATGTAATCTTGGAAACATTATAATCTTTTTGTGCCTCTGATATTCTGCAAGAAAAATAGACTTGATAATAGAGTTTAACTTGTAGAGTTGTTGTGAGGGTTAATTAATTTCATATATGTAAAATACTTAAAAACACTTTTTGGCATAATCGTCCTATAAAAGTCTTAGCTATTATTACCATCATGAGAGTTGTGGAAATGATAGTCATTGTTAATATGTTTATGCGTACCCATGAGAATAGATTATCTACGTTTACTTTATATAAAAATGTTCTAAAGGCAAGAAGTGGATAGGATACAAGGTATCATTTGTCCTAGTTCTCCCTCAGTCTCTCCAAGGTTCTGCCTCCCACAATATACAGATTAACAACCTCTGCCCTTTTTTTTTATATTTCCTTCAATTCTCGAGAGCAGGGATTCTCAAATGGGGGGAGTTTTTATTCCCCAGGGGACATTTGACAATGGCTGGGGATATTTTTGGTTGTCACAACTGGGTGAAGTGATTTTGCATTGAATGGATAGAGGCCAGGGATGCTGCTAAACATTCTAAAATGCACAGGACAGCCCACAACATAACAAAGAATTAACTGGCCAAAATGCCAATAGTACCAAGGCTGAGAAACACTGCCCTAGACCATTGATTATCTGAGAAACCTGGCTTCCTTTCAGTCTTATTGCCAGGGCCTGGAAGGAAGCCGTTAAGAAACTTAATGATGATTTTACCTATTTTTTATATAAGTTCCAGTTGCATTTTTGGTTAAGTCTAGGGCTCTAGATGGAATAATAGCAGCTATCACGTATAGAGTGCCTACTGTGTACTGGGAACTTCGTATATTTTATCTCCAATTCTCATTAAAGAGCAAGAAATTACTCTAACATCAAGATGGAAGTGTAAATATAAGGGTATTGACGATATCACCTATTTAAAGAGTTTTAACTCCAACAGACTGTGTATACTCACTCAGGTGTTACCCACATGCATTCACATGTTATCTTTAGGTGCCTGAGTACATGAATCAGTAAATCTTGTGCACTGGGTGAAGGAAAGTGCTAAAGTACTGGTATCTTCAGTTTACCTTGAGACCTTTGTCGGAAAATTCAAGGACGGTATTTTCCTGTCTTCTTATTTACCCTAGCTTTGCAATGAGGATGGCACTTAATCTTCTTCAGCCTCTATTGCATTACCGCAGGCTTGCAAAGGCCATTAATTCCCTAGTCTATTTTTTCTGTGTCTCGGAAGGCCAAAGCTTTGCCTTTTTTTAGAGGATAAAGTCGCTTTATTATTGAAAAATAATTTTCATTTTTTTCTCAAAATGATTATTTCCATGCTGTTAGTTTTCTTTATAAATTATTTAATAATGAGAGAATAATCCATACCATTTAAAAACACAAAATTAATAATAATGTTACCCCAATAAATACAAAATAGTGTGTCAAACAATTTAGACACCTACTTACAAAATATAAAATTGATATACATTCAGTAGTTAAACAAACTTTGCACTTAATAATTGACTTTGCATCTAATAATCACACAATGCACTCTATTTTGAATTTTTTTTCAATTACAGTTGACATTCAATATTACATTAGTTTCAGGTGTACAGCATAGTGGTTAGACATTTACATGCCTTATGACGAAGAAATCACCCTGATAATTCTAGTACCCATCTGATACCACACATATAGATATTACAATAATATTGGTTATATTTCCTATACAGTACTGAACATCCCTGTGACTTTTTGTAACTACCAACTTGTAATTCTCAAACCCTTCACTTTTTTACCCAGGCCCCAACCCCTCCTCCCATCTGGAAGCTATCAGTTTGTTCCCTGTATGTATGAGTGTGTTTCTGTTTTGTTTGTTCATTTATTTTATTGTATGTTTTTAGATTCCACATATAAGTGAAATCATATGGTATTTGTCTTTGTCTGACTTATTTCACTTAAGTCCGTCCATGTCGTCACAAATGGTAAGATTCCTTTTTTGTGGCTGAGTAATATTCCATTGTATAAATGTACCACATCTTCTCTATCCAATCGTCTATTGATGGGCACTTAGGTTGCTTCCATATCTTGGCTACTTTGTAAAAAGTGCTGCATTGAACATAGGGGTGCATATATCTTTTCAAATTAGAGTTTTGGATTTCTTCAGATAAATACCCAGAAGTGGAATTGCTGGGTCATAAGGCAGTTCAATTTTTAATTAAAAACATTTTTTTTCTTATTGGGGAATTGGGAAGGGGAACAGTGTTGGGGAATTGGAGAAGGGGAACATTATGTTTTTCCAGGACCCATCAGTTCCAAGTCAAGTTGTTGTCCTTCAATCTTAGTTGTGGAGGGCGCAAGCTCAGCTCCAAGTCCAGTCGCTGCTTTCAATCTAGTTGCCAGGGAGGGGGGGTGCATAACCCACCATCCCATGTAGGAGTCAAACCGGCAACCTTGTTGTTGAGAGCGTGTGCTCTCAACAGCTGAGTCATCCGGCTGCCCGTTGGCAGCTCAGCTCGGGCGCAGCATCACTGGCCCATGTGGGAATCAAACTGGCGACTCAGTTGCTCAGAGCTTGTGCTCTTAACCAACTGAGCCACTTGGCCGGCCCCAACTTTTAATTTTTTAAAGAACCCCAAGCCTCTTTCCATAATGGTTGCACCAATTTGCAGTCCCACTGACAATGCACGAGGGTTCCCTTTTGTCCACATCCTCGCCAATACTTGTTTGTTGATTTATTGATGAGAGTCATTCTGACAGATGTGAGGTGATATCTCACTGTGGTTTTTATTTGCATTTTTCTGATAATTAGTGATGTTGACCATCTTTTCATGTGTCTGTTGGCCATGTGTATATCCTCCTTGGAGAAATGTCTATTCAGGCTAAGTTTGCTGTTCTTTTTCTAGTTCCTTTAGGTGTAAAGTTAGATTGTTTATTTGAGATTTTTCTTGTTTTTGAAGTAAGCCTACATTGCTATAAATTTCCTTCTTAGGACTGTTTTCACTGTGTCCCATAGATTTGGGGTCATTGTGTTTTCATTTTCATTTGTCTCAAGGTATCTTTTGATTTATTCCTTGTCTCATTGTTGACTCATTCATTGTTTAGTAGCATGTTATTCAGCCTCAATGTGTTTGTGTTTTTCAGGTTTTTTTCTTGTAATTGATTTCTAGTTTCATAGCATTACAACAGGAGAAAATGCTTGATGATTTAAGTCTTCTTAAATTTATTGAGACTTGTGTTGTGGCCTAACATGTGGTCTGTCTTGGAATGTGATCCATGGACACTTGAAAAGAGTATATATTCTGCTGCTTTGGGGTGAAATGCTCTAAAAACATCAATTAAATCCTCTGGTCTAATGTGTCCTTTGAGTCTGCTGTTTCCTTGTTGATTTTCTGTCTGGAAGATCTATCCCTTGATGTCAGTGGGGCATTAAGTCCCCTACTATGACTGTATTACTGTTGATCTGTTCTTGTGTGTCCATCAATATTTGCTTTATATATTTATGTGCTCCTATGTTGGGTGCTTAAATATTTACAAGGATTATATTGTCTTGTTGGATTGATCCCTTTATCATTATGAAATGTCCTTCTTTGTCTCTTAGCCTTTGTCTTCTTTGCCTTTGCTTTAAAATCTGTTTTGTCTGGTATAAGAACTGCTACCCCAGGTTTTGTTTAGTTTTTTCTATTTTCATGAAATATCTTTTTTCCATTCCTTTACTTTTAGTCTCTGTGTGTCTTTCGATCTGAAGAGGGTGTCTTATAGGAAGTATATGTAAGGGTCTTGTTTTCTTATCCATTCAGCCACCCTATCTTTTC